TGAGCCCCCAAATATTAAAATCTCAGCTGAACACTGAACTGTTCAGGTTCCCCTGGGCATGTGCAGGGAGCCCTGTACAGGGAAAGCGTGTGAAATACCTGGTGCAAAGCTGGCTGAGTACTTTTTGTAAGAGTAAATGTAATCTGCGTTTTCTGTAGAAACTAATAGGGACTATTAACATCACAAGCAAAACTTTTAAGGACCATTTTGGATGTACACTGGAACAGCCACGGGCTGGAAGCAGGTTTTCAAAAGCCTTCTATATGGAGAGAATGTCACGGATGCTTTAAAAGTCTTCAGATACGTGTAAAAATGACACATATATTACATATTGTCTCCGCAGAACAAACACCATTTGAAATGTGCCTCTTTTTAACTACCATTATGAGCTGTCCAAAGAGCATTTTGGTTGAAACTTGGGAGGAAAGGAGAAAAAAAAAAAGCCCACTGATCTTACACCTGCTCTTTAGCAGTGGGAAGTGGGTTCTCAATCTGTTAACATGACCATCTGGCCAATCTGCATATCACGGCTATCTGGATTACTGTACGATGGAATGACAATAACGTAGCCAAAACAAAAGTAAAATGCATCAAAAACTAACAGTAGCGCAGCCCTTTTGATTTCAAATTAAATAATAAATGTGGTATCACAGCAAAGCAAGAAAGTCAGCTAAATAATTAAAAACGAGCCTTCGCTACGGCATAATTAAGTAAACAATATGGTGTGTGTTTCTATATGAGCCGGTAATAGTTTCCACCGTCGAACGCTCCACTTTTGCAAAGCAGCTATCAGGAGTTCAAGATGCTGTGACAGCTCTTTTGGTGATGTACAGTATTGTCAGGACACCCCTCACATCCCTGCAACACGCCGAACCGGCTGCGGCTATTAACAGGATTAATGCAGCAACAATCAATACCAATTGTACTAAAAGATTACGGCGCAAAGCCTTATGTACCTTTCGGACTCCCTGATACCTCCACGGGTATTTTGGCTATCTGCAGTTGTTTCCTGCATTTAACCAATCTCTGGGTTATTCCCATCGATGCCTCTTTGCGGTGGTCCAAGTAGAAATATTTTAAATCTGCCGATGGGAACGTAAAATGGGTCTGCTTAAAGTTCAAGGTCATGTGCTATATACTACTGCCCAGGCAATTAGCCATAGAGCATATTTTAGACGCCAAGTAAATTTTCACAGTCGCAGAAATAAGGCTGACTTCTTGCATCTTCTCTGGCTTCTATTCTAAACACGAACAGAAAAATGAGCTCATGTAAATAAAACTCTAGCCCCAGATTTTTCTTAAATTTGGGATTTTTAAATGTCTTTCTGAAAGATTAAAAGATTTTCTCTGCCACAAACACCTCGCTAGCTTAATTCTCGCCCGAAGTGCATAATGATGGTTGTCCAAAAAAATAAATCGGGCATCGCAGCATCGCCTCCTGGCCTGCCATCCAGCTTCGTCCACTGGAGAAGTCTCTAAAAACTGTGACCTCTCACAACATTTAACTACTTCCATTGCGAATCTATTCTCCAATCTGATCACATTAGCAGAAGGAACTCCAAAGCAGTAAAAAACTCCAGAAAGTTCTCGGTTGAGTGCCTACTAATGAACAAAGGTTAACTTTATCTAAAAGGTCAAATGCCTGGTGGCTAAGGTTGTGACCTTAACAACTTAAATTGTGACCTTGCCACGTGCCTAGTATATTGTAGATTCTGATACAGATCATCTGGTAAAGGACCGGTCATAAATTAGCTTTACTGTTCGACTCCCACAAAGAAAACGGTTTGCCACAATGGTTTCCAACTTGTCATTTGATACAAGTGCAGCATAAGTGAAAACTAAAAAGCGAACCCAAGTTCAGGGTACAAAAATGCCGCCTGCTTTTAGTTAAGCAGATTAGAAACTGCAAACTGAGAGCAATACTCTAGATTTCAATACATTTTTTGGTCAACCTCTAATTCACAAAACACCGATCTTCCTTTCCTTTTTTTTTTTCCTTCTTTTTTTTTTAAATGAAAATGACATGTAGTTTGCCTATTTGCATATTTTTGTTTTCTCTTTCTAGCCAGTTCTTAAAGAGAATAATTGATTTCAGTAGCTTTGTAAGAAGCACTATTTAAATCTGTGCACATGTGTTCCCTTACAGATGATAGTGCCTACTGAAGAAAAAGCGTGGATACAAAGCAATAATTATCGTACATGTTTAGAAGGAAAGGGACATCTCGCTGCCGAAGTCAGCTCGAATAAGGGCATCTTGGAAGAGAATACTCCCCCCAAAAACAAGAAGACGAAGAGTGGAAAAAAAAACCCAAGAAAAAGAGAAGCAAGCACTATGGGTGAAAAGGTCACAATGGTTTTGGCACGTATCTTCAAGCACGTTTCGGAGTCTGTGCCTCCTGCCAATACTGGCAACTTCTCAAAACTTTTAAGGAGGTAAAAACATTGTTTAGTGTTTACAAATCTTCTGTACTATAGCAGATGCTTGTCAAATCCACTATATGTAAGTTGACCAGCCTACCTAATATTTGTGCTGGTGACTTCCTCCTTACAAATAAGCGGTCCATACATTTGAGGAGCAAGATCTGATGGAGTTTGAGACAAAGGACCCTTAATATTTCTTTTCTTTTGTAATTTTCCTGTTGCGCACCCGGCACAAGCTGCCATTACTGCGGGTCTGCGGGAACCAATGGCTGTCAACTTGGCCAATGTTCAGGTGTAACAAAGACTGCTGGGATACATCGGAGGGGGGAAAAAAAATGGAAAAAAGGGGGAAAAAAAAAAGGTAGCCTATATGCGAGGCTTTCGGTTTACCCCTGTGAAGCAATATAGACGGCGACCACGCTGTGCTACCTCCTAAAAATCATTTTGTCCCCCTCTCTGGTGAGGTTTAGCAGGGAATACGCCAGCACACGCGACTGCATTAAGAGCACAATGCGATGCGTGCAATCAGCAAACAACGGCCGAAAACATGAAGCAGTGCGGTCTGTACGAGCGCGTTACTGCTTACACAAAATGGCAAATCTAACCCCAAAAAAATGAGCCTAAGCCTCGCACTAAGTTTCCGCGGCAAACATCTAGTCCGAAGAACAATTAGTGCAATTGCTGCCTGTGGTTGATGAAGGCAGAGTTCGCTATCAAGCCTACTGTTTGCCAACAGCATGCTGATAAGATGGTATATCCCTAATCACGATACTGAACTTTTATAATGCCTGTTGCCTGACTGTTATAACAGGGGGAAGATCCCTTCAAGCTCCGCGGAGTACTCACACCCCTGGGTTTGGTCCTTTTCTCCCCATCCTACATTTTTGTGACCCTACATGCAGGTTAAACCAAGACCGTTGGTTTCTATTAACAACTTTTGCACTCCGCAGAAGGCTGCTTTTCATTTAGGAAACACAATACGGACCAGTATTTACCGGCACCGCACTATATATAAATCCAATACAGCACTATGTAGTGGTTTTCAGCCGTGGCTATCAAAGCACTTTAAGTGCATCACCCTGCTCCGATGTACGGAGGAGGAAAATGAGACAGACAAAAGGGATGTGAGTCCCTGGTCTCCTCGGGGCCGGTGATGGAATGCGAGGGGACCTGCAACACCCCAGCCCCAATCTCCCTTTGGTTAGCCATTAATTGGTAATCCTTCCTTCACCATGCCCCATAATAAATTGCAGAGTAAATAAATCATTTTCCACAATATTTGCCTACCTCCCCTTCACCATAAACGTGCAATATGATTTACTACATTGCACCGAAGTGCAAAGTAAATTTCACAGCTTATCTGCAAGAAATACCATGAGGATACTCAAAAGTTATTTCCGAAGAGGGATCGTACCCATAAAATCACAGCGGCGACACTGCCTATTGCAACAACCACTGCAGGGACTCAGCGCAGAAAAACTTTGGGGTAGCCAAAACTTTCTGCAAGACCCTCTGAAAGAAGGTGGCATTGGAAATGCAGGCTCCCAGTGCTGCAATTTGCTCAGTTTTCTTACTGATGTATATTTATATAGAAATGGTTTCTACTAATATGATTCCTCCCCCCTTTGCTCCTCTTTTTTTCCAGCCTGTCCAGCCCCTCAACTTGCAAGTCAAGCTGAAACTCAGGGGGACGTATGCCTTCTATACGTGAAAACCAGGGCCTAGAACTTCGCATACACACATGTTTCTGCAATATAATCACTCAGGAGAACTACAATAGCATATTATTTTATCCAGTCAACATACTACACATCCTCTGAGCACACCGAGTCACTCCGCGGGCAGGGTGTACTTTGCACTGGAGTCAGAGATCCCAAGATTTTCATTTTCATCACATGCAAAAACATCTCAGCCCCCCCATAAGCACAATATTATCAAACCAGGAATTTGTTTCAAGACCTGCTCAGCTTCTAGGTGTATAAATTGCGATATTTCAGGGGGGTTTAAATGCCTCCTTTTCCCCATAGGATTACTCGGGGGTTTGTTTCGTGGCTGCTCAGACCTGATGGCTAGATTTCCTATTGAGGGACCATCTTCCCCTTTCCCTCCGAGCCCAGTCCTGTGGGATTTACACTCCCCGGTGTGAGGATACCTGGTACTCCTGACCCATGGGCCTTGGGGACCTCTAGCCTTCTCAGACTACTTTGTGCATAACATATACAAACTTTTTTTTTTTTTAAATTAAAATCTATCTGCTTTCCCCCAAAATCAGGATAAAGGAAGCCGCATCCAGCTGCAATCTCTCCTAGGACAACGTTTAGGATAACACCTGTGAAGAATGCCCAAAACGCCATTAACCCCCAGAAAACGAGAGCCGCTTTTATGCGGCTGCACCTTAAAAGCCCACAAAAAAAAAAAGGGGGGGGGGGGGCAGTTTTGGCACTCCCCTCGCCGCCCTGGGAGGGCGATAACCGGCGTCCCCTGCTCCCTCCCCGGCTGCTGCAGCCACCGCCGGGGCACGGCACCCGGCACGGAGATAAACCGAAAAGTTGTAGAAGGTGGTATAGAAAGGCACTTACCTGCTGCGTGCACAAAGTATGCCAAATATAAATCGAGTTCCTTAACAGAAACTCCTATATGGTGGGGCTGTACGCACAGCCCGGGGTTAGAGCACTGTGGGGACTTTACAAGGCGCTCGCCATCAGTACTTTCGAGCGGAATACCTTTAAATAAAATCACCATAACAAGGTCCAACCTCCAGACCTTATCTGCCTGGCGAAGGCAGTCAATTCTTCTCATCTTGCCCTTCTGGTCTGGATTGGAAAGAACGCAACACGGAGGCTTTTTTCCTGTGACTGTGAGAACAAAATCCTCCCGAAATTCAGGCCTGATATCTTTCCGGAGTTTTGCCAGAAGTCTGGATGCCCATTTTTGCTTTACCTCGGGTTTTTCACTTAGCAGTTCGTCCTTCACGGCTCTCTCTTCCTCTTTTGACATGCGTTTTTCATGTTTTTTGAAGTATTTTCTTTTTCGGGCTTGCAGGTTGAACCACGTGTATGCAAACGCTCGGACGTGAGGCAGAAGTGCTTCGATGAAGGGATGAAATTCATCCTGAAAAAGTTACAGACAAGGGTCGATGTCACCGAAACCATCAACAAAAAGCCTCCAGAAACGGGGCTTTCGTGCGAGGCCCTAAGGCTCGCTGGGACGGTGAGAATTAGGAGGGTGCTTATACATTTTACAGGCTGCGGGACTCGCACCCCTCGCCGATGGACCCCGACCCCGCCACCACCGCATCCCCGCTTCACCTCGCACCGACACAAAACCTCCACTCCCACCCCCCCGAAAACAGGGTCCAACTTCAAACAAGCACCCAGCCGGAGATGGTGCAACGATGGGGCCCTTTCCCCAAACTCCAAATCTCTCTTAAAAAAAAAGGGAGAATGAGTTAAAAGCTAAAAACCCCACTGCAAGTCCACTTGCGGAGTGCGTATCTCCCTTTGCTCTCTCCCTGACCCCACTGCTTGCGGTGTAGCCAGCGTATGCCCGCCAATTTGGCAAATCCTAAACATTTGGATGCCAATCAATGTTTGTATGGGGAAGTCTAAAGTATAGTAAAACTTTCCCTAAGATATATTTGGAAATAGCAGCAGGCAGTATAGTAAAATGCCAATATAGCTGCACATACAAATACAATGAAGGGTGGTTTTCTCTCCGTTTCCTAAACAGTGAAGGGAGTAGAAAGTAAGGCCGCCGATTTATCCTGTGTGCGCAACAATAACTAACACTAAAATCCTAGAAAAAGCAAGTCTCACAATTTTTTTTTTAAAGTTTTGTTTATATTTAGTCAAAAAGAAAAAAAAAAATCTGATATTCGGGCATATTAGGACAAGCCAAACTCTGAGCCTTTCTAGAAAATAAAAAGAAACAGGAAAAATTGAAAAATGCAGTAACAGAAATCCTTAGCATGACTTGTGCAAATACGCAAAGAATTATTTTTTTCTTTATAAGTTGTGTCGTATTTTCATATATTTAAAAAGAAATGCCCTACTTGGAAATTTAGTTTGGCCATCCAGAGACACTGCTTGCTTTGTGTAACGATGAGTTAAAGATCACCCCTCTTCCTTGGCACAAAAATAATCACAATTAAAATTGTGCTGACAATTAAAAAAAATGCAGTAAAGACCCCCCGATTTTGTTAAAAAAAATAATAATACATATCCTCAAAAAGTACTACATAAATCAGCCAGAGAGATCAAAAAATATTACAATACACTGGGACCACGCTTTTTGTTTTTCTCTGAATAAATGAATGACCGAACTCCAGGCTGCACATAAAAACGTATATAGCCTGTGGGGGCCTGATCCAGCACTGCGTGCTGGGGACATCTCTGCTTCTAGGGGCCGAGTTCCTCCTTCTCTCAGGATCGGGCCCTCCAGGAGGGAAAAATAAAGTAATTTGTGCAACGTTTCCCGCAGCATGGTAAAAGCCACCCGCTGCCTACCCTTGCAAGGCAACATTGGGGATTTTTCAGATTAACTAACTTTTTTTTTTTTTTAATTATCCCATGCAATACATTTCCTACCCAAATCATTTCAGGTCATGCAAATATTGTTATTAAAACAGACATCTTACTTCCTTTCAACACCTTATTTTAACTTGCATTTTCTTTTCAAAAATTATGAAAAATTGAGACCTCAATAGTAGCAATATCTATCAGCAAAATCCTGTCGTAATTCAAGACCTTCTGCTGACTTCCCAAAAGCTTTCATTGCACTTATTCTGAGTGGCCCCTAAATTGTAAATACTTAAATCTATAGGTAATACCACAGCATTTATTTTTATTTTAAACACAGATTGTTAAAAACTACCAAAACCGGCACAATATATTTCATTATAGCACAGCAGAGCGGCAGTAATCACAAGTACTGTGAATGATGATTAAAATATAAGCAGGTAAAATAAAATAAATCACTCCAATGACTGGCACATTCCTCTTCTTTTTTTCCCCCCCCTCATCTACTGGAAAAGATCATAGTTTCAAATTTCAATAAAGTTAAAAAAAAAAAAAAAAGATTGCTGCGAGTTTGCAGTCGGCAGATTCAAAAAGTGAGAGGAGGCACAATCCCAGCACATGGAGCTGCTCTCACCCACCAGAAACAGCTCTCGTGGGGGAGGGGGGGGGAGAAAAAAAACCCTAAAAATATAAAAACTACAGGTCCCTACAAGCTATTAAAAATAATAAACCCTCCCTTCTGATCCCTCCTGCCCTTCCCCTTCCCCACTCAGGGAAAGTCAAGGAAAAAAGGCCTTTTGTCAAGTGGAAGTTTATCTGCGAAGGTACACACAGCAGAGGCTCGACAGACCCACAATGAGCCAGGGGAGCGCTTCAAGCCTTCCTAGTTTCTAAACACGTCTTGGTACATCCTGAAATATTTTAACTTTTCTGCTTTAAGCAGCGCTTTGTCCTGCCTGATCTCATGTGCTCGGGACTTTTTTGGCTCGACGCTGGATACTATCCAAGAGAGAGTCGCTTTAACCTGCGCTAAAGCTGATTTCTACGATGTGAACCTGAAAGGGGAGGTAAAAACAACACCCGAAAAAAAAACCCAAACCACTTTAAAAGACTTCAGAGGGAGGGGAAAAAAAAAAGGTGCTTTTTGGTGTAAAGTCAGGGTCCATGGCTGAAGTAAATGAAAAGCACCACTGCTCGGCGCGTGAGGTGTGCGCGTCCCTATTAGACTCCAATGTGTCTTTTCAAAATGGTGTACGAGGAGAAAAGGTTAATGACTCATAAACAGACCAACTTTCAAACTGTCTTGGTAAACACGCCACTCCGTAAAATCACACTGCTTCAATCTCAGCGGTGAGGTATTAGCAAAGTCGAAGTGGAAATAAAAGCACTCAGGACTGATCAAACAAAATTGGGCTGGAAGCGGGGAGGGGGGGAGCAGTTTCTGCACAATACGATTACTTATTTCAGTGTTGTAATAGCCCCCCCCCAAAAAAAAAAGTTTTGGAAATGTCTCAATGCAAGTGTGCTAACAGATGTGCAGACTTGTCTGCAGCCTCACTGCAAAATATCAAGATTTTAAGTAACTGGTGGAAAAGGAGATGATCTTTGCCTTTCCCCAAGTTAGCTTTAAGGGAAACTTTCAAAGTATTTTATAAAGATGTTTGCTTTCCCCCCTCGGCGTTTGATGGGTCACCTAAAAATAAAAGGCACCAGAAAGCTAGGAAAGCGAGAATAAAAAGTAAGGGTTTTTTTCATTGCACTACTCTCCAAAGTTTGAGGATACAGCTCTTCCGAGAACAGCCTGTTTCTAGGCAGCACCTAAAATTTGGGCCGCGCAATTCGGTATTGCTTATATGAAATTCTCCTCTGCTCTTCAGAAAGGTGTAAAAAAAAAAAAAACCCCGACAACAAAAGAGCCCCAAAACCCAGCCCAAAGGCGCCTGCAATAATGTAACACTGCAAAAGGAGTCTTTTGAAACAATATATTTCTGCTGATCTCTTTGAAATTAAGCCAGCTAAAGCGACCCTTGTTAATATTTTTACAATCCATTTGCCTGTAAATCTATTAGGAGATGTGCATATGTTCCCCAACTATTTCCTAGATCTTCAGCAGATATGTAAATGGAACGATGTTTAGATTTTTCCTGACAGATGATACAAAACGCTCGTGCCATTTCAGTTCCAGTGCTTGGATAAATACGCTCATAACTAGGATTTCTGTTTGTTTTCCTTTTCTAACCCACTTTCGAAAGCTTCCCTTTAAATCTGAACCAAAACTTAACACAAAAAAAGAAAAAAAATGTATCTCCGTCCCAAAACTTGTATCAATAAAAGCTCCTGAAATGAAAAATAGGAAATTGCTTGCAATTGCTAAGGACTCGCCCCCTTTTTCTACAGAAAATGACAGAATCACCTAATTGATCCTTCGGAGGGAAGAGTTTGTCAGGAGGCATCTAGTCCTCATATTACTTTTCCAAACGTGCAACAAGAATGCGAGATTTTCACAACTGAGTAAAAGCACAGTGCCTGACTTTTTTCATTTTTTTTTTAATTTAAAAAAAAAAAAAAAAAGCGGGGGGGGGACCGGGACAGGGAGCAACCGGCCCATAGATTTATTTTCTCTCCTTAACGTGCAACTGGGCCTACTAAACCCAAGAAGCTACACGTGCAGATGCAAAGCGATGCGGTACGTTGCTGGCCTTACGAGGAGCGTATTGCTGTCCCTCCTGCAGAAGCAGAACTGACAAAAAACAGGTATTTTTCAGAGTTGAATTAGAGGCACAAACTTTGGCCAGGCAGAGCACGGAGTTGCATCCCGCGTCCTCTGCAAACTCCCTCCGCTCCCGTTTTCCTCCTGCCTTTAATCAAGTGTATGGTTTTTAAGCCCAGCAGAGTTTCGTGCCCCTGCCGGCCTGGCTTCTTCTCACCAGGCACCCAGAAATTTGGGGGAGGCTGGGGAAGGAGAGGGGGGACCATGGCGAGAGAAGGGGACGAAACTTTTGGAGCTCTTCAGGCTGCCTGGGAAGGCTGCTTCCCCTCTCTCTGCATTTCCTCGCCTTTTTCTCGACGGAAAGAGCCTGGAGAGGCTTTCTCACCGGGAGAAAAAAAATATTCAAATTAAATTAATAAGAATAATGTAGTCAAAATCTCCTGCAGGAGGAAATAATCTGGGGTTTGAGTCCACCACAAAGCATTTCCTCGTTAAACCATTATATCCTGCTAATTGAAGGTGTGTAATTTAGCGTCCTGCAGCAGCGCGCGGGGAAAGGGGGGGGGCCGG